TTCAGGCCTTTTCCTGAGTGTGAAAGCAGTGTATTTCAGGAACCGTTGGACTACAGCGATTTATAGGCTTAGAGCAGCAAGTTACCAAAAAAAGCAGCGAACAAGCAACCGACAGAGGTAGTGAGATAACAGCAAAGTGAGAACACAGAGGTGAATGAGTTATCGGTTGCACATTCCCACAGTTTGCTCCACAGCACAGCCGCTATTAACCTCTCGTGCAGAGATAAACTCTGTGACTGCAGATATCACACCATACCTTCACATGCGCACTGAAACAACTGATGTAGGCAACACACAGCAGCTCAAGTTAAAAAGAAAATTCCACCATTTGGAAATCATGCACAACAATGTTGAAACAAATGCCACGGAATTTTAAAAGAGCTGTAAGTAACACCAGTCTGTATCTAACCAAACTACCACTCAGAAAGCCTAGAACTGCCACATTACACAATATATCTAATGCAATGAGTAGTTTTGGAGCAAAACAAGTCAACTTCCAGCCAGCAGCATCGGCTTTCACTCTAAAATGACATGTCAGAGATTCACCCAGTCTCAATCCAATCCCAAACTATCAATACAAGGTTCATCACACCACCCAGATTCTGCTCCACAACCTCGGAAAAGCCCATTTTCTTTCACCAAAGTACCTAAATATAAGAGTATCAGATGACACATGGTGTCTCACAGACGCAACAGTCATCCTGACAGAAAAACACAGTGGGCTTTGTCAACGAGAGGCAGATCGTATGACGGCTTTGTTTCTCCGTCTCTCCATCCACCTCCAGGGTGGGTAGTCACTGACGTCGGCGTCTCTGCATACATGGTGTACTGTATGCCGACTTGTCAACATTCAACTTGACATTTCAGAGTTTCAAACAGTTTTATCTCAGCGTTGCCCTCTGTGTTCACCTCTAGCAAAACATTGTGGAAATGTGCAACAAACCTGAAGCAGTTTGTCACCAATATTATTATGTAAGACAGTTGTGACACGTTGGTTTTGATACAACTAGCGGGCTTACTGATGCACTTAGTAATTCTATCTGTGACTAAATAAATTCAAGACAAAACACAAGTGCTATAACAGTCCATGGTATAACACATTTTTCATTTTACAAAACAAAAATATTAGTTCTAAACAAATTCCAGCTTTATTCGGTTAAATTAAATTAGGTCCACCCAGGTTTTCTCAGCTACAGCCGTACTCCTGCTGTGACCAGCGGTTTATCCTGGCTAATATTAACTAATGTTATCAAATATTATCAAACCTCTGACAATCATTGCTGATGGTTCTGAGTAGGCTCCCTGGCTTCAGGATTCTTTCTTGTTTTTGTATTGTTACACTTCGCTGTCGCACGTCAGCTGTGGCTGCTGTTCAGCCAAACATTGATCTCAGATCTTTAAATAAACTGACTGCAAATGTAAACCAGGATCTTTTCTGACTCTTTGAATCTCCTCTGAATGTATTTATTAACATGCTGCCCCCAAGTATTTGTTTCACAGACATTACTCTAATATTTAGAGAGCTTGAGACCAAAGCTGTGGGCATGTAAAACAGATGTAGCTCTATATGATCTTCTCCAAGGTACTTAACTCCCAGTATAGCTCCAAGGGATGACTCAGACAAAATCTGTCTCTCCAGAATAACTGCACCTCTCAGAGCAAATTTTAGAGCCATACAAAACATTTCCCAAACTAGGCTCTTTGCTGAAACTCTAGCCAGAGGGTCAGTGAGATGATGGTGTTATGTAGTAATGTGATTATCTGTTCTTAAAAACAGAGGGTGCTCGGAGGTCATTTTAGGACCCCAAGACTAAAATCCTCCAAGTGACATAACAGCCCATAGTGACACAGACACGGCCGTGTGCCGTTGAGGGGTGACGGAGGCTTCTGTCATGTTACACTGATATTTTAATCAAACTGAATGTCCAAGGATCATATTACAATTGCCTTGGGAAAAACAATTCCCAGTGCTAACCCAACACACAAACACGGCATCATTTACTTGGAGGGGTTATTAGGGTTTTATCTCATATCTATGGCAGTTGTTCTTAAAACATTAATTCAAATATCAAACTTTTGGAATGCACCTTTTTTAAAGACATTCCCAGGCAAGGAAAACTGAATTTCAAATTCTATAATCTCTTCAGGTTTCCCATGACTCCTTGGACTCTGTAATCCTTTTTATATGTGACAGCTTGTCTAAACAGTTTGTTCCCCCGAGCCGTCACTCTGATTAACACGTAACCCACGGCAGTATGACTGGACAACAACCCTCAGTGCAATACTGGTAAATATACACTGTACAGATTATACAGATCCGTACAGGTCTCTATTTTTAAGTACTCTATTTTTATCCTGTTTCCTAAAGAACACTCCTTTGTCTGTTTGCGTTGTTTATTGCTTTGTTTATCCTGTTTATTTTCTTATACTGCACAGCCTTATACTGGTATATTGTTTACTTGCCCCCTGCTATTGCCTTACATAGGGATATGTACATACACATTGCGAGCCACTGTACCAGAGTCAAATTCTTCGTGTCCAACACACCTGGCCAATGAAGCTGATTCTGATTCTAAACAAGAGATTATAATTCCCCATAAGCAGCTTGAAAGATCAAACCCGGTGCAGCTCTACGAGTACTGTGCATCCTCACACAGCCTTTTCCCACTTACTCATTTTCTCCTGGTTTTTCACATCCCAGCATACAACCTGACTTCTTACTAACATATCATTTATAGTCTTCACGTCTTTTTTCAGAGCACAGTCATTATTACAATAAGCAAAATATGACAAAAACTGTAAAATACTAAGTTACTTCCCAGGGTTTGTCCCTAGCTGGGGACAAACTTTGCTGTCACTAAATGGACTGAATGATCTAATTGTGCTTAAACTCAAGTGTTATCAACTTTTTAATGCACAGAACCAGCCCATTCAGTCAGAAGCACATGATGTCTTTGAAAGCAGCGCATCATAAATTGTGGCAATTCTTGGCAATCACATGTCCCCGGGTTTCTCCCATCTGCTCTGACACAGACTCACAGCTGCTCTTTTTTATTTTTATTTTTTCGATGGTGCAGATTATAATGCAGTCCACCAATCTCCATCACACTGTCTGAGAACTCGTAACAGAGCCAACACATCAGACACAGTCTGGTTTAAGTCACCACACCACTGACATTGGCAGCCCCTCAGCTGTGGTGGTCAGCTGACTCTCAATCACATCTTTGAATCTTCATGCCACTTTCTCAGCTGTCAAGCAATATATGCACCCTATTAAAGTAATGAACCGAAACATTTTTACAAAAGAAAAAAAAAGACATTTCCACATCCATTATCAATACCACTTATCCTGAGGAGGGTCACAGGGGGAGCTGGAAGCAATCCCAGCTGATACTGGGCGAGAGGTGGGGTCCACCCTGGACAGGTCGCTAACCTGTCACAGGGTTGACACTTAGAGACAGACAACCACAACCACCCACATGCGCTCCTGCGGGCATGCCTTTGGACTGTGGGAGGAAGCCAGAGCACCCGGAGAGAACCCACATGTAAAGTGCCTCACAGCAAGATGGTTCGACAACACTAACCACTGCTCCACCACGACACCACCCTTGCCAGGGATATTGGAGCCATTACAGTATGACCACCCACTGGTGGTGCTGTAACTCGCTGACTAGCAAACCTTAAACATGGGCATTAATACTCTGTAGAGCCAGGAGCAGCCATATTTGATGCTACTGATGATGTCTAGTGTTATTAACAGCATAAACCCCCAAGACCCCAAGAAGGTTTAAACTAAAATGAGTGGATTTATTGAGCCAGTTACAAAATATATGTCCACTAATTGTTAGCCTGATAAATTTCCTAAGCAAAAATGTTATTGCCAAGTATTTCCAAAAGTAAAAGGAATCTGACTCCAGCCCAGGCAGATTCTCTGGTGGCGTATTATGCACGCCCGTGAAAGAGTCTGTACAAGATCTGATAAAACCGTGTCGTTTTGTGAGAAATTTCATACATGTGTAATGTTTGGCTGTTGGCTGAACATAGGCAACCTATTTAGTAGACTCTTTCCAGTGTGAATGGGTCAGTTGTAATGCATATTAGCATGTGTCAATAGAGGTGGCTGTGCTCCATAGTTACAGTATCTTTCATGCACAGGCCAAAAACAAAGGAGCCTGTCCTTATGAACAAGACGTTGTCTGCGGCTCCATATTGTTCTATGCACATGGCTTATCCACGTGTCCTGTTATACACCACTGCCATTCACTCAATATTACTAAGCTGAGTAGTATCCATTTTAGGTACAGATGTTACATAGATCACAGAAGAGGTCAGGACGGAGCCTCCAGGATTAAAATGATGGTACCAACTTATTTTAAGGCTATAGTGCCCCTATTAGGAAATATATTTTCTGCCCCTTCAGTAGGTTATATAGTGTCACCAGGTAGTCATATAATGTCTGTATTTCTTTCTGTGTATCTGGTATTCATTAATGACTTTTTTGCTTTTTAATTGCTTTTATTCAATCATTTGTCCTCTGGATTTTAGAAAGGTCAGCACTCATTTCATGTTTTAGAGACTTCAATCCAATCCTCAACTTTGGTTTGTATTTTATTCTATTATTAGTTATGTTGTATGGCATTGAGAAACCGTACAGCATCACCAGAGGTAGTGTACAATGCTTGTCTCTCATGGTGTCCCTACAATATTTTGACTAGCAGCAGCCTCCCTCTGTGGCTCAGTTAAGTTATAGTGATTGTGTTTTTATGAGAGTTTGGTTGGCTTTTTTATCTCCTATAGTTAAACTATGAGAAGCCCTATATTATTACAGTATAGTGTGTTATTATATAACTATATCATGCTAAGCAGTCAAGGCTTTCTGACTCTGCACACCATCCCAAAATAAATGCCAGGCTTATCATCTAACGTCCTCACTGGGACTGCCTTTTCACCATCTTCACATGTCATGGTGACCGGATAAATACTGGTGTTGTTCTTTTTACCGTCGACGTTTTCCCTGTCGCTGATGTGCTGCAGGTTGCACCCCGTCTCCTCCCTGCTCAGCTCTGAGTCCTGCTGGTACGACTCCAGCCTGGAGTGGGCATTTCTGCGGAGCTTGGGGCTGGAAGATACGCAGCAAGAGGTCGTGCTCCCCATCTTTATCCCCCTTTATCGCGCTGAAACAGGAGCTTGAAACGATGGGTCGCCAACCCCACCGAGCCGGGCGCTATGGGCTAGATCACCAGAGCGCACAAGGTGCATCCGTAGCAGCGCCCATGGATCCTGTCAATCCTCGGTGTCCACGGAGAGGATGGAGGCGGTCTCAGAGGGTGGATATGTCACATCTACCGGTAACAGCCGATGTATGTCACCGCTGTCCCAGGCATCGCAGAACGAGTCACATCCTGCTCCAGGCACAGATGAGCGGCGACGGGCGCACAGCTGTGCGTGTTGGTCTGTGCTGTGGCTGGATGTCAGAGCAATAGACCGACAGGGAGGCCTCTCGAGAAAAGGTTCCGGTTCAAGTGGGTGGTTACAAATAAGAGAGTAGAGAGAGGTAGAGGAGGGGTATCAAAGCTGGTCTGTTGATTTATTGTTGATATGCATTGATTTATTTCATTTTATTATGTTGAGAACAAGCTATTCTCCTATGTCTGTCTGTTAGCCTGTCATTGCGTGGGTTAATGATTCTGCAACATAGTTTTTCTATATAGGCACCAGTACAATAGGCCTACATTTGGATGGAAAATAATTAAACTTGTAACTTATTTGACGATTGTGACAGGACTGCGAGGATAAACGCACAAGAAACATTATTCCAGCACGAGTTTGTTTCTATCCCTATGAATTATTTTATAAATCCAGAATGAGGTTCAGGTTGGTTTGTATCCTTAATTAATTTAGCATTAGAAAAACCGTCAGCATGAAAACTGTAGAATAAATTTAATTGGTCCAATCTTCAGGGGGTGGAGTCAAAAGAAACCGCAAATTGTCTTGAGACTATAACCAAAACCAAAGAAAAGGAAGTAACTTATTTTTCACTTATAACTTACACAGCTGTGGATTTCAGCTGCACAGCCTGCTCACATGTACTACCTGACCAAAAAAAACTAGAAACACAAAGTTATTTTAGGACACACATGAATTCCAACAGAAACAGACGTTGGAATTTAAACCTATTCAGATATTTTTGTTTCATTCTTCTTTCTCACCTGCTCTTGTTTGGAAGCATTTGACTCAGTTACAGTGGGGACATCTGCTGACCAACCCAGTGAAATGTATTTATATGGATTTATCAAACCCAAGATGGAAAAGAGTCACAAGATTACTCACCACGATCAGCACTGACATTTTGTCCAGTAAATTTTTTTTTGAAGTTTTATTTTTTCATCTCTTTCTATTTAATCATTGTAAAGCACTCTGGTTGTTTTAAAGCACTATATAAATAAAGGTTGATTGACTGATTGACCTAAACTGTGTGTATATACAGTATATTTCCATATTTATAAGTACTTTTATTTTATTTTGCTAATGCACAGTCCTTTTTCTTGTTTGCACATTCTTTTTCTTTCTTTTTTGTTCTCTCAGCCTTGTCTTGTTTACTTGTCTTCTCGTTGCTCTACAGAAGAACATCGTACATGCACACGTACACGTTGAGCTTGTTGTTGCAGTGGTGTGTGTTGGACAGCAGAGGTCCCTGTGGTCCGCCACAGTGAAGCACTGTTTATGTTGTCAAGGTAATACTGCTTGTAGGCAGCCAGTCTCCAGGTGGAAATTTCCACTCCAGCCACACTGGCACAAAGGCCATGAAGATGTTTGAAAAGCAGCTAAATGAAATATTAAATACGATGCACTGCTGCAACTTGTTGGTTCTGGTTTGTTTCTAGCATAAGAGAGCACACTTCTGACCTGGTACTTGATACTTAGCATGCATTTGAAATGTTTGTTGATCTGCTCCAGTAAAGCAAATGTCAAGTTCACCAATCACAGATATTTAATAAAACCTTTTCAATTTAGCAGTGAATTTATACAACATTTCAAAGGAACCAGAATGTTGAGGATATAAGGCTTGGTGTTGGGGGAGCGGGCGAGGTTTTCTGCTCATCAACAGCAGTTTCAAGGTTTCCTTCCGAGGCATTTTTCTCCCTTTCAAGCTATTCACCAGTGTGTGTGTGTGTGTGTGTGTGTGTGTGTGTGTGTGCAGAAATGATGTATGAGCAGGAGAAAGACAGTTTTATGTGTTTATTCAGTGTGCGTCTCTAAAACCAGAGTGAAAGCCAAGTGCCTGTTTGCATGGGTGTGCTTGTTGTTGTGAGAGAGTTTGTGTGCACAGTGTACACTATGTGTGCATGCATGATAAAAGAGGCTTAACTGTATAGTGTGTTTAGGTGCATGTATGAGACTATAGCACATGAATATAGGGCAAAAACTAGTCACACTTTAATAAAGAAACACTTATCTCAGCTTTAATCACCATCAGCTCCTTCAAGGTCAATGCTCTGGCACAAGGGGGTTGCGATGGAAACTAACTCTTTTCATGTGAGTCTCCTTTTAAAAAGAATTTTTATTTTAATGGCTCCTGAAATCTTAGTTGGCTCAAAAACATCCTTCCAGTGTTGTTATTTTTGACTTGTTTCTAAAGAATACAGCTTTTTTTCAGTGCTTTGTCTCCTATTTATGGATTAAAAGGCTTTGATATTTAAGATTTAATGTTAAACAAAACTGCCAGATTTTTTTTTTTTATCAAGAAAGCTTAGCGGTGCATCTATAAATCACCTCAGATGGGTGTCTGTGGTAACGTAGAGTAAAATCCCATTATGTTATGCTTGTTTGTTGGTTTGTTCACAGTGTAACTCAAAAAGTAATTAATGGATTTTGGTGAAGTTTTTTGGCGATGTAGGCCCAGAGACCGATCCATTCGATTTTGGCAGTGGTCCGGATTATCATCCCATTATACGAATTGTTTAATGGCTGCCTTGGCAGAGGTTTGTGCTCTGAGTGCTGTCTAGTGTTGTCGTGTCTGTTTCTTTTTTACCTTGTATCATTTCATTTGTGAAACTAACACTAAATTACATGTCAGCATGCTTTCAGAAAACCCAGCTTCTGGTGTGTAACATTCAAGAGAAGAGCCGCCTGTGGCTGCACGGCAGAGGATGGTACAGCAGTAACATGCAGTAACTTTATGTGTTGACTTCAGTTGTGTGCACACTGTGTGTAGTCCCTGCATAGTTGATTTATTACCTAGTTGATAATGAAATCATTTGAAATTTGACACACATACAGTATGTAGGGTGGGAATGTCTATCATATGACCAAAGTTCATCCGGATCTGACAGCCTTTTAAATTTACCACTGAAAACCACATTTAATGCATATTTCCTGCCATAATTTGGCCTATGATGAAGATAGGATGCTAAAAGATGATCTGGATCCAATTCAGATCAAGGATTTTAGGACACTGTGTGTTATTCTGGATTGCATTTTTCACAAGGGACCCATCTGTGCCATGGTGGAGATACATGCGCTCTCTGAGTACAGTTGTTTAAGAGGAATGAAAACCTTTCCTTTCTTCATTTTCATCTCTTTTGTCTAATTTTAACTGGACCTACATGAAAAGCTGACTCTGAAGTGGACAAGGTTGCTCGAAGGCTGGGCGAACAGTAAATCACAATCCAGACTTTCAGTATTTTATTAGATAAACAAAAGGTTTTTACAATTCAAACCAAGAAGTACACCAAGATAAAAGATGGAGCCATTTGAAACATCAAAAACTAAGTGCAGAGAAACTGGACTTGTATCAAAGAAAACTTAAAACTTATCCTCGCCTGCCTTAATATTGGATTCAACAGAAGGAGCTTTCATTTGTGAATACGTACAATGACAGGGCATTTAGTTGGTAAATATCAAGATTGCCACAGGATGATTCATACTGCTGTCAGTGAGCAAAACAATACTTAGATACCTAACAGTTAATTAAAGAGCTTTGGCAGCCACAACAGACAGTCAGTTCCATCAACAAATGCTTGTTTCTACAGGCCTGACAAGTACAAGGACTCAGCAGAAAAAAAAACAGCAAAATAGAGAAAGCAAGCAATTTTCTATATCGCCAGAAACCTTGACACAATATAATCATTAGAATAAAATGTCTTTACATTATAAAAAGGGAAGGAAATTGGCATCACCCTTTAAACAGAGCATTTTAATATCAAGCCAAATACAGTATTAATCCACAATGGATATCCATCATTTGATAGATACAACTGATGTTTGCATGACTGAAAAGTTACTCCTTGAGCTACAAAAATTGAGGTTTTGAGAGATAAAATAGAACTGACACATTTTAAACATGTTTAACAGCTAGTTAATAAAATGGAGTGAAACTGAATAAAAACTCATAATATCTACACTGACACTTTGGTACTTTCTGTGACTGAAGAGCAGCTGTGCTCTGTTATTTCAAATACTACAGTCAACTCACTTTACTGATGGAAAATAAAGACTCTTTTGGACTTTTGTTAAGCAGGGTTTGATTCAGATAAAGCTACCCTACAATGGCTTTAAACATATAGATTCTGTGCATAAACAGCCAAACAGAAAAAGATTTTCATTTGGATTCTTTTGCTTCGCTGGTATTATTTTTTGGAAAAAAAACTTTTTGACCAAATCAAGAATGTCAATACAAACTGAAAACAGGTTGCTGAAATCCAGGAAACCGCTTCATTGACAAAATGCTTCAAGAAATGTCTTCATAACTGTGTTTTCATGTGTAGGAATGCATGAATAGACTAAAAAGCATAAAATACACAAATGACATTCTCTGGTAAACACAGGTGAGCTGCCTGGTTGCAGCTGGTGGTTGCCCTGTGGAGCTTTGTGTGCATCTCGTCTGACCTCAGAGGAACTTGCCAGTAGTGAGACCTGGCAGACCTGCCCAGGGTTTTCCATAATTTCTGTACTTGAGTGTGCATTTTCAGGAAGCACCTGCATTTCCTCTTCCTGTTCCTCCTCTTCAGCTGGCTCTCATTGGCTGGAATCATCTGTGCACAACAGCAACAGCAAGCATAGTGTGTACAATACTTGAGTCTTCACATGCAAAGAGCACAAGATGAGAACAAGAGCATAAATGGCAAGCTCAAACTATTCGAATTCCCTGGGACACCTCTGACGTCGGCGTAAACCAGGCCCGACTGAGCAGAGAAACAAAGACGGTCAAAGCAGTTTTTGTTCCAAAGTCTTGTTTTGTTTTGCTGTAGCAGTTCGTAAACAGCACTGTCTTCAGCCCATGGCCACAAACAGATGCCGCTACTCGGCTTTGTGGCAGTAAATGTCCTTCAGAGCCTTCAGCTCTTCAATCAGGGTCTTGTTTTGGTTTTCTAACACAGCCACGCGGTTTTCCAGACATTTGACATACTCCTTCTTTTTCCTGCGACACTCACGGGCTGCCTCCCTGGAGACGAAAGAAAAAGCAAATATATTGAGTTTTTCATTTTAGTTCCATACAAAATGCACAATCCAAGACAGCAGCTGTTTTTTTAAGTTGCCGGATCTGCTTCCACGTTTGAGTCCATAGTTTCCCAGACAACCATTCACTCACCTGCTGCAGCATTTACCTCTCAAACATGGACAATCAAGGAGCAGAGCAACATTTGCACATTTATTGAAGCAGGATGCTGCAGCTTTGGCCTTTGCACTCCTTGTGACTTTGGCAACAGTAAATTTCTGATATCAAACTTTCCAGTTCCATAAAGCCTGGTTGAGTCTTTTCATTTCCAGGAGTGAATTAGGAGATCACTTAAAATATGGCTGTATTCTCATCTAACAAAGAGATTCACTAGTTGATGAAGTGAGCTCTTACAGAGTGACTGCATGGTAGAAAATAAGACTGAAGGATTTAAGGCCATTTGTACTACTCTTACTAATGATATTTCACTGCTGCATTGTGAAATGAAACAAGTTTCCAGAAATAGCAACGCACTAACTATAGTAGAAGCGATGGCCGATGTCCAGAAACCTTCCTTTGTTCCTACCTGTTTTTCATCAGCCGGACCTCCCTCTTGCGGGTGATCTCTTCGGCATGCTGTGATGACGGGCTCTGCATGGTGCCCGGGGATGCAGCCATCACAATATTCTGAGCCAAGCTCGAGTTTGGCGACCGCAGCTGGTAGGCGGGCATATCTCCTGTGGCAGCTAAAGATCCATAAGAGAACACAATTTGTTAGAACTGTCTAATTCAATCAAACACACTTTGTTCCTTCACATTTTCATCTCAAAAATACAGTAAACTTTAACAATTTCCCTGTGGGATTAATAAAGTGTTCTGATACATGTATGTATTTCACCAGAGGATGTTAGACAGTTCATCTGCTCACCCTCCTGCTTTAAACCATCCTCTGACCAGGACTGTCCCCGTGTAGTAGCTTTCTAAATGACCTGACCTGTTGGAAAGTAAAAATCTATCATCTTAATGTGCAGTTCCCCCAATGCAATGGTGCAGAATGACCTAAGAGACGGATTATTTCATACCTCACACAGCTGGTTAAATAACTGTCAAGTATTAAACTAGTACAATTTAACGTACGTTGCTTCGTTATTAACAGCAGGATTGAAAAGATCTGGAAAAATCAGTCACTGGTTCAGACGTGCCCAGTCGCTCATGGCATGAGTTGTGAAATGTGTACTCATCAGTAAATTGCTGGAGGCTTGGTGGACTTTTTGTCTCCAGCAAAAGAATGATGCATTTTCATTATTTGGAGTGCAAAGCAAGTGGCGCTGGGTGATGACTACAAAAACCAAACAAGAATCGAACCCCTAATTTGTGCTCGTGAACATGCACTTTATGATCTACTATTAACTGTAGGAATTTAAGCAACAGGTTTGTGCTGCTGCTCAGTTTCTTCCTCCAGAGACTTGCTGCTGGTCACAGTGTATGCTACTGTGGGCTGCTGGTTTGTGACGGTGATTCTGGAAAAACCAGCAAACAGCAGCTCTGTGAATGTGGTTTATGCACTGTTGGAGTTGAGTCATCTAACTGGTGACTCAACTGTTAACCACTGCCTGCTGTCTCTCACCATATCAGTTTCTCTTTTTCACTTTGTTCCTGAGAAGTTTCTAATTTCTCCCCCCTCTCCTTTTCACACAAACACACACACACACACACATACATTCAAAATGAGACACAGCAAATGTACACACACACACACACACAGAGCGTCACTCCTTTTCTCGCTTATTGTGATAACAGAGTGACTCGGACTGTGTTGACGTCAGTGTGTGCGTCTCAAATTCTCTCTTCTCTGCCTGACTTCTGTTCCAGGAAACGGGAGTGACGTCAAACCAACGACTATCTTGCCACCCCCCCACCTTCCCTGCCTTTCTGCCTGACAACCACTGGAGCGCTTCAGAGAGTGTGTGTATGTGTTTGTGTGCAACAGCAGGATACAGAGTGACAGGAACAGAGTTAACAAAATGCTTGTTGACTTGTTAGATCTGGTTTCTCCCTTTGCTTTTTTGACAACACAACCCTGAACTGTCACAGACTTTTCCTGTGTTGAAATGGGAAGGACAGCTGTCCACATTTCCTCCTCTATTTCACAATACATGTAGCAAAAGTTATTTAAACATGATGCAACTTTCTGAATTATTTCTTGGCAAGAAAAAGATTTGTGAAAAGAATCCCCCAATACTTCACATGATTAAGTTCTTCTCATTCTGCTTCTGTTCCTTATTGAAAAACAGAGCTGACAACCTGAGCAATACATGCATAAATACCTCACTAAAAGGCAACAACAGACTGTTCAGACCTTTGCACATAACACATAAAAACATGTATAAGAGGAACTCTACCTGACTCAGTCTCATCCCCAGTTACAGCCATCTCTTCCTTCCAATAATCCAGCACCACGGCAGCAAAACACCTCAACACAAAACCACTCTATTTCTCTCTGCTTCACTTCACTCTCTTTTCTCCTTCTCTCTGTCCCTCTCAGCTCTCTTCGTGTAAGAGTGGTCACTCATAAACTTTGCAACCTGATTACAATAACAGGCATTGACATCACAATGACATCACTCCAGCCTGCTGAAGTCAGTAAAACACGCTGGATTAGAGTTCCACCCACCCTCCCTTCCCCCTTGTGGATCGGAGAAACACAATGTGTGTTGGGCAGGCAGGGAGGGAGGGGTAGCTCAAGGGGGTGGTGATAGTGGAGGGCTTGTATTTTTAGCCCTAGTGACGCAACTACAGAGAAGCTCAACAAACAAGAGGATATTGTGTCCCAAGTGGCTGCCGTGTAAACTGTCGAGCACCCTTAGACTCATTTGTGTGTGTTTGTGTCTTAAAAGAGAAGGGAAGACAGATATAATAATAATAATAATAGAGGCTCAACAATATTAGTTTTAAGGCAGTGCAACATGTCTGTTACTCATATGAATGAATTCTGCATCATAACCAATCGTGTGAAAAGATTATAGTAAGTGTATTTACTGCTGAGAAAATCCTCAGCTACACATAAAGTGATGTGTTATTTTTAGTTCCTGTGACTGCAACAGCAGTTTCTTTGAAATAAGAAAAAAGTAAAAAGTTATTAGTGAGTCAAATTCAAATCCAACAAACACTGTAACCTGTAACCTGTGGCTGCCTCTCCTTTACTAACAAAGTGACAAACTAATGTGTCCAGTTAGCTTCAGGGACAGGGACAGTACTGTGTTCATATTTTAAAGCGACTCTGAGCACATACGGCTTCTTTAATACCGCTGCTGCCTGGTCTCTCAGGTACAGCAGTCTCTGTTCTGCTCAGACACGTCCTTGCTCCCGCCTATCACTGGGATGGCAGTGTGAGAGCAAACTGCAAGAGCAGACAGGCCCTTTGGCTGCTGGTCACCGAGTAAGCCTGAGAACAGAAACTCAGGGCTCTTTCTGTGTTTAGTAAACCAATTCATACTGAGATATGGCAGGAATTCATATGGACCCAGAAATGCTTTGTTATTCGATCCATCTGGGTCTGCTGAAGGAGCCCGTGGACACAGTTACTGCGTGGATTGTATTACAAGCTTCTGCTGGGATGAAGAGGCTCATAAAAAGAAACCCACATCTGCCCTCGGTGTAGGCAAACCTGTTCAGTGAGGCCTGCCTGTCCAAATTAGCAATTGTAGTGGAGGAGGTGAAGATGACTGGCTGCTCCTGCTGATCACGGCTATGCTGGACCTGGAGATGTGGCCTGCGACGTTCCCACCGGGAGAAATCTGAAAGCCCTCAACTGTCCCACAGTGAATCCCCCACATGTGAAGGTTGTCGACTGCCCTAGAAGCTTCAGGAGAATCTGAGATCTGCTCTCCAGTCATTTTGGCACTAAGTGTGGATGTGGTGAAGGGAAGAATGTATGCTTAAATACTTTGCTGTTTTGGGGAAGGCTTAGGAGGTCTGCACCGCTCTTGGGCACTGGCAGACGCCCAACAGGAACAGGGAGAAGGGAAAGGGGTAAAGTAGAAGAATAAGGGAGAGAAAACTTGGGTGGGTAACACAACGTGGAAGCAGAAATATGTAGGGACAGAGAGTTTAAACAGTGTGGAAAAGGAAGGGGCGTAGTTTGGGCAAGGTCCAGCTCCTGAACTTCAGATTATTATTATCTTCATTAACTGAATTTCAAATGCTGGTAAGAGGTGCAGACAATGTACTCTGTTCAGGACAAACAGCGGACTATGCTCTTAACACTCTGGGTCGTGGGTGCACACTGCACATTTTCATTTACAAAATTCAATAACATACTGTATCAAGGTCTGAATCCCACAATGGCAACTGGGGATTATTACGTTAAATACGACTTACCCAGATTGTCAACTTGTTTTCAGTTTATGCTATGTGACATTAGAGATGAAACTGGCTCTCTCTAACAGGACCAGGACATTATGACATTCCTCTCACAGTCCATTCCAAATTTTCCAGACACTAAATTTCACCAGAATCAGATGAGCCTACCTTGGAGGAGCACCTGTCCTCCCTGGATGTAAAACTGCTGTGGAGCTTCTCCAGGTTGAGCTGCATACTGCAGAATGGTGGCTCCAGGCTGAAGGGTGGGAGAGCTGGCCATGGTCAGTGTCTGGGCCCCCTGAAGGGCTTCAGCTCCAGGGCTGGCCAGCTGGATGGCTCTCCCCTGAGTGATCGCAACTATGCAGAGTCAAAGTTCAGGTTTAACTTGGCTGCAGTCTAGAGAAAACAGTTTTTTTTTCACTGTGAAGTGAATGGCAGTTTGACTTCCTCTAGGACTTTGCAGAATGTGAAACTCTCAAGCTTTTGTAAAACGACTTACAACTCTTTACAGGGTATAGGAGTAAAGTAGAAAGATGGATAAACTACAAACTCCGTATAGTAGCTGAACTGAGTTGAGGCCAGCTGTTCGTGTATGTACCCACTGTATTGTCCTGAGCTGGTCTGGTAGATGGAGGCTGGCGCCGACACTGAGGCCACGCTTGACACTGGCACCTCCTCCTCTGTCTGTTCCTCATCGATTTTAGGAACGGCCGGCGAATCCAATGCAAGTTCATTAAGGATTTTTCTATGAAAGGAGAATTCCATGAAATGATTCCACACAAACATTGCAACATTATGAGTCGTTACACTCTACACACTATATGCGGTTTATCATCCTCTTGTTTGCTGTTGATGTCTTCTCACCGGTAAGATGGACGCCTAGAAAGAATCTCGCGTCTCTTCTGAGTGTCTGTGACGGACTCGCGGTCGTCCATCTCTGCTACAGGAGCACTCTGTAACAACCAACCAGAATGCAAGTGCTGATCAATCCACACTGGGTTTTTTGTTGTTGTTGTTTTTTGTGTGCGTGTTACTGAAGGGGTGTTACTTTCCATACACAGATGTAAGGTATAAACTGGGATGTGTTTCATACAACAATTTAGAAAAGTGGAGAATGACATCAAAGAATTTAAGCAGCATTTTATTTTGAGCCTTAATCTTTTCAACACATCCCAGCAAAGTCTTTAGCGCCTTCTGCTGTATAATTATTTGTGAATGTAGGACTTAATACCGTCTTTTAAGTGTAATGTCACTGTAGCATGAGTAAACAGGCTGACATTTTGTCATCAAAATCATCCTGTTGGAGCATAAACAAACATGCAGTTGACCTGTTTTTGTGTCACCAGTAAGCTTCTATGACTCACACTTGTGTTTAATGATTGTGCATTACCCACACAAAGGCTCTGTTGGTACAGTTAAAGGACAATATCTGTGCCAGAGAGTCTGATGTATGCCAGGTTAAACAATGGCATACCCACCTCCATTTACTGGAAATTAAGGGAGTATATGTTAAACCCCTGCTTGATAGTCGTATGCTTTGAAATCAGAGGTTTATAGAAATGAGCACAATTAATGCATTCATCATATTTCTGCTGCTTAAATCTACACAGTGTTTCAATCTGGTCCCAGTTCGATAAATGGGCTGAGTGAGAATCAGTGACACATAATATTTATTTCTGTTTCTAATTGTTGGGTTTTTCCTCTATAATAATAATATAAAGTGTCCTGAGATGACTTTTGTTCTGATTTGGTACTATACAAATAAAACTGAATTGAATTTTGTGGTGCGTATGTGCTGTTTCACTGTGTACTTAAAAGATTTGATCTCTATCCTGACCAGTTTCCTTGTAAAGACAACAAAGTAGCCTCTACTTTGCAAACCAAGCTGCTCATGTGAGAAAATCTGCCGCACCATGTGAACTGATACAATTCCAGGGAGTATCATTTCATTTCCCACCCACAAACTGTTTTGTTCAAGTGCTGAAAATACTGAAGCATCTGTGCTTCTAGGCCACAATATTCAGTGAAACAAGCACATAATGAATTTTGAACTGTGTCTCACGGCTTCACCACGATGATCAGCGTCTGCAGTTTGTGGAGCCTGGCCAATCACAAAAACAAACATCTCCTAAATGTGAAGGTTAGATTGATGAAATTAGACCTCAGCTCCTGCTGCTCAATCCTATTAACACATGCACTGCATTAGACCATGAGCACTATAGAGTGCATACTACACGATGCCTAAATCCTCATTCACTATCACACCAACTCTGCCACCACAACCCACAGAATATTCTACAACACATAGGAGAACTTGATATTTCACTTGACTTTTTCTTGAGACGCGCTCTAACAGACTTGAGACTTAACTTGAACCAGCTTCATATGCTTTGAGATTTGACTCTAGACTTGCTCTGATAGATTTGACTTGACTTGGGCTTGGTTCTGATGACGGGAGACTTGACTGGAAACTTGTGCCAAACGATCTGGCATCATGGACTTGTCTTCAGAAGCTTGACTTGGTGCTTAAATCAGAACTAAAGCAAGCATGCGGGCTCACCTGCACAGTCTGGACTTGTGGAGACTGTATGACAGAGGTCTGAGGGGCCTGGATGACCCGTTGGACCTGTGCCGCCCGACTGTCAGCCGCGCCGGGAGACTCTGCTGCCACAAATATCTGCTGGCACAAATAGGTAGATGCTAAAGAACTGTAACCCTTGTCCATGTTGATGCCCAGCTGGACCTCCACTTCACAACAAGGTGGGTGTACCTGAGCAGGGGCTGCAGGAGACAGGCTGGCTTCACTGTGGTTCTCCTCTCCATCTGTCACCGAGTCGTGCAAACTGCTGTCGAGCTCAGATGACACTGAGGGCTCCATAGTCAGTCACCTGGACAGACAGATCAACAAGCAGATTGAGCCCACTACCAGGGACTGGATGACGTGACTTTTTCTCCATACGATTTGATGCACGACATGGTGTGTACGATTTGATGCAATCACGATACAATTATAAATTCAACAATATATGACCAGCTGTGGAATACTTGTACTTTATTCCTATTTTCCCCTTTTTCTAGCACTGGTGTAATTATGTAAAGAACAACCAGATATATTGACTTACGTTCTGTTATTTACAAAAAATATGAAGTTGCTGGTGTATGGAGACCACGATATATATCGATAGAGAGAACAATATATATTGTGATGTTTTTGTAACATGATATATTGAAATTCGCTATATTGTCCCATCCCTGCTGAGGCTTACGTTTGCTTCTCCAGTAGATGACAAACAAATTATTGTGTTTTCAACTTGTTTAGTCCAGGACATGGTATTTGTCCTTTGTTAAATAGGACATTGGTTTTAGGATCTCTGAGAAGTAGGTTTTTCCAGACCTTAGCTGCATGAGAAAGTTTTGAAAATCTGCAATAACCCTGGACTTTCTTTGTTTTCCAAGCTGTATTTAATCATATCAGTCTTCATGGAAAGTTTTATTGGCATGTAAAGGTTTAAATGTTGCTTCCCAGGTGTCCAGAACAAAGCTCTGCTGGAGCCGTCACTTCTTAAACTCTGAATCATTTTTACACTTCAGGACAGAAGACACTACAAACTCAGGTATCGTTTACATTCCTGTTTCTTGTCAGCAAAGAAAGGGGAAAAATAGTGAGAAATTGTTTGATTTTGACTCAATCCAGATATGACGAATAACAGATATCACTGAGTCTGAAGACTGATGATCACTACAGTCTGACTGATGTCAACATCCGGTGTCACAGTCACCAGTCAGACAGCACCTAGCAGCTCAAATATTTCTAAAATGTTCACATCAGGGGCACTGATGTACAGCCACAAGGGTCCCCGCGTGATAATAACTTAATGATGTCTATACTATCTGCTATTGAAACTGTGAAACATTTGATCACAAAGTGCTTTGTCAATCCAAACATGAAATCAAAAATATTTCAATGAAGTTAAATTATGATTCAGTAACTGAAAATCCCACCACACCAGAACTGCTTCAAAGGTGTCACAGCAGAAGCCAATATATTCATTTTCAGTTTCTCTAACAGTAAAACCTCTACTTGTAAACACCCCTTCGTTTTATTCGTTTTTTTAATATCGTACATGCACTGTGAATAAGTCAGTAACAAATTGCGCAAGAAATTCACTGAATGCCTTCCTTATAAATACAAAGAAAAATTCATTTTCACTGTAACTTATGTTTCATTCTTTACATTTGTATGTCAAATAGTATATAAATGTCTTTTACTAAGAATGCTTGGAAATAAAATTATACGACGAAGAGGAAATTGTGCTTTCTTTGTATATATGTGATGTTATTAGAATCTTTTATTTTGAAGAGGCATTTTCCGATCCACTTCCGATATCCACCTTACTGCGTCTCACTTGACGCAGCTATGTAAACTTAAAAAGAAGAGAACTGCTGCCAGCTGAGCCAACTGGGAAATTTTTTACTCCATGTTAGTCAAATTCATCAGCCTGATCGTGAAACAAAGTGAAAAGTTCCGCACCGCAGACGTGTTTGCACATTTGCCTTTAACTCTGCCCAAGCGGCGCAGACCAAAAATGTGGCGGCTTTGCAGCGACTTACCGAAGTTTTACGTAGTCGGACTCGTCACTAATTACAGTATGAGTGGACTGCCTGTGCCTTCGCTCACGTAGTCTCCACGTCAGCGCTGATGATGCTGTGCCGAAAATGTCGACCGACGAGTGCGTTTAATGTCGAAGACGCTCTAGGTGGAGCGAGAGGTTTCGCTTATGCGCACTTCCGCGTTCGCCCGTTGTTAAAAAACGGAGTCTTTTAAAAGAGCATAAAGTAAGATTTTATCTGCATTGTCGCACAGAATATTGTACGGAAGCACATTGCATTCTCCAGGGACAATAACTGGTATGAGAGCCTAACGATATTGGTTATTTAGAACTTTTCTGCCCTGGTAGCGCTGATGTTTTTCTCTCTGTTCAGTACCAAAACACATTTTTATCAATTAGGAATGAGTAAGCCCACATAAAGTTAACTCAGCTGCCCTATGACTGAACTAGGATTTAAACTAAACGGATATTTTAATTTACTGTAGGGAGATAAATGATTAAATAAGTGTTTTATGAAGCGTCTGTTAAAATAAATACAGACGGTGATACAGACTGATTCGTTTCAGTCCAACCATTTAGACGCCATTCAAATTTGCCTTGACATTGATTAGATGTCAGATAACAAACATTAAATTACCAAATTTCACTTCGTATTTTTGTTGTCTTCTTTCAGACCTATGTCGCCATCTACTGGATAAAAAGAAAACACTTGAAAGAGCAGACATGCAGAATGATCTTAAAAACATTTGGCCAGGCATTGCATTTAATTTTAAACATTTTTCATCTGTTTTTGCAACAGAATAGCCTTAAACCTCTGTGCGTCATTAAGATTAAGAGAGAGAGGGGGAAAGCCATTTTCAAATCACATTTGTATGCCATAATTCACTGAAAAAAAAACAACTCGCTCCACGTCAGAAACATTAAACCAAGTCTGTCCAATGTTTGTGGTAGTTACAGCAAACCCATAAAAATATGACCATGATTTTTTTATTAACATGAATAAGAGCCACATGGTTCACTCAGTGCAGCCTCTGTGCTCTGGGAAGATGCTTAAGCAGCTTTTTCAAACATTGTCTCTCTAAGTAGCAATGTGATTTCTTTAAATACAAAATTTTAGGATTTTTTTTTACTTTGGGGAAGTGCATTTTAAGTGTGTGTGCCATAGATATTGAGTAAGTTGTTTATTTATTACCATTGTAAGAGTTTTTTTTTTTAACCAACACATTTCTTTATATTCTGTTTTTCTAATCTTTTTGTTTTTCTAATATCATACTTTCTATGCATGAATTTTTGTGAAAAGTGTTTACAGTCCTATGGTTGTACTGTAGACGCTGTTCCGTACTCACCAAATTCCTTTATTTAGATGCGACTTCAAGTGACCTCAGAACCACCATCTGTCCTTCTGCCTGCCAGGAGAGGCCGTACTGTTCAAACTCCAAGCTCGCTGTTATCAGAGAGCTCTGCTCTGCAAGGCCGGGCCCCCCCTTAATCTCTGACTGTGTGGCAGCAAAGCACTTCATTCAGCAATAGCAGATCTAAATGAGGCGTGTTTAGACCGAATGCAAGGGTATAATATGCACATGTACTTTATACACTGTGGATGGAATTTAAACATGTAATTTTCTACCTTTAAAAATGAGAAATGTAAAACTTTTCATATAGTTTCCTAATTTTCCTACATTTGTCCTTTGTGATTTTTTTGCATTGTTTGTTTTTAAAAAAATGATTGTCCAACTGAAATCTGAAAATCTTTCAATCTTAGTCCATATAGTCATTTCGAAAAGCCTTTTCATCCTGTAAACCTATTCTTTTTTTGTAGTTGCATTGTTTTTTCAGTGAAACATTTTGGCTGTCCGTCATTTTATAAATGTCTGTGTCACGTTCTTTTAAATAACCTAGTTATATTGCATCAGTTATTCTGGCTGGTGTTCCCCTTGATCCGCTGCTCCCTTCCTGTTCCTTCCCCTCCTCCCTCTTCTTCCATCTCTTGGCCTGTCCTGTGGTCAGAGGATGGAGGTTCCAGATGGTTGAGTAGCAGCAGCAGAAGGGAGACCCTCAGGGGGGCACAGCAGGGAGCCATGCAGGACCTGGGCCAGACAGCTCTTTAGCACAAATTTAGCCTGCATGAACACGTAAAACAATTACATGCTGTTAATGTCATCAAAGAGATATTTGGACATCTGTTGTGTACTTTGCAGTTTAATTAGACTAATATGTAAAGTTTCATAGTCCTTTCAAGTTGAAATGTATCGGGGTAAAACTGCTATGACTATTTTCCCGTAAGTATTGCCTGCATAAAATCACAAGTTAATACTTAAGTAATGGGTCAATTTAAGACAGTTATGTTCAAAATAGCTGTGATTTGACTGCATTATTCCTTGAGCTATGATAAAAGTCTTCTGTCAGGCTGCAAATGGTGTGTCTAAGGACATCATCAGGGGTTGTAGGCTGGTGTCCCCCTCAGTGTTCCTGGCCTAAAGACAGATGGCCAGTGTGTTTATTGTGCCAGCGCTGGTCAGGTTATAGCCCCCAGAACTATCCACAAAATCAAATCACATCTGAATTGAATCTCCTCTGTTATTTTAAAGGTCCTTGCTGACCTGGTTTTAATTTGATTTGCTCAGTGTAGCTGTTTCGTTGTTCATATGATGGATTCTCCTACAACTGCATCTGAAAAATGCTGCTGTCCGGGTCAGTGCTGATACATGAAGATTCAAACATAAAGTTGATTTCTAGTTGGAATAATGCCTACTCTTTGAAGGAAGTTGTGCCTGAAAGGGGTAACTGTCCACTGTTCCCCACCAGAGGTCACTGCTGATTCAAATCCAATGATTTGATCCAATGACAGATGGATTTTCACATCTACTTGTTAGTTTATTAGCCGTGTCCTCAATTAATGCAGAATAACCATTTTTGGATTTATGAGTTTAAGATTGTCTTTTATATGAATCAAACAGTGAATATTTTATTTTATTTTATTTTTTTGCATTTTATGAAGCGGTTTTCTGTCTGCTATGAAGTGACATTCATCGGATTTCCTATCTTGGCAAGAATGCAATGGATAACATAAGAACCTAATTATTTGTATTGAACTTGCAAATTACATGAATGCATGACAAATATTATTATATTAAATTATTTCCAAAGAAGTTAAATATCACATTTGGTTGCTTTTGAGTTATAAGAAGTTCCAAATGCCTGTCAGGGTCGGCGCGCGTGATGCGGCCGAAGAGTGTTTTAGTGAACTCAATTATAATGCCAGACGAGTAAGTGTAAAACAAAAACCGTCTCTTTATTAAGAGAACTGAAACTACCAACAAAATCACACAAGACACGGTTGACACAAAAACTCACGGTCAGTATCGGTCCTAGGTCAGAGCCAGCAAACACATACATCCAGGGAAATCCGAAGTTCGTAGTCCAATAGAGAAAGTCCGATAATCATACACCGAGGGCGAGGCAGAATAGAATGGTCCAAAGAAACAATCCGGGTCAAAACACAAGATACCAAAACCGAAGGAATGCGGGAAAGTCAGAGCTGGGGTCTAGAACAATCTGGCAGCGTCCTCATGGGAGGACGCTGCCTAAATAGAGGTGTGAACAGGTGCACATAATAATGCAGCAGGTGAAACTAATGTGAGCGATGGAGAACGTAAAAAGACCAGAACTAAGGTGAAACAAAACAGGAAACAGTGTCAAAATAAAAGCCGGACGGGAAGCAGTGGAACCAAATCATGACAGTACCCCCCCCACAAGGATGGCTCCCAGACAGCCAAACACAAA